GCTGGAATTCACTGAGCTCCTGAGAGCGACCCATTCTTTCACAAATGTTTGTAAAAACAGTCTGCATGCCTAGGTGCTTGAATTTATACACCTGTGGCCATGGAAGTGATTGGAACACCTGATTCCAATAATTTGGATGGGTGAGCAAATACTTTTGGCAATATAGTGTATGTAGACAAACTCTAACCCTGCAGATTCTGCTTCCCAAAGTGTCAAGGTGGAGAAGTTTTTCAAAGACCCAGTTTGGATAGACTGACATCACTTTCTCTGCCAACTTGAGACTGAGTGGCAGATGAATGGAGAGTTTGATCAGCATCTCTCACCCAATGAGTCTGAAGTAAAAACAGACAAACAAACAATAGGAAAACACAATCATGATAAACACTATTAGGACAGAAGATCGACTACTTGCCTGATTAATTACATTTCCTCCTAGACTAATTTCAGAAAATCTATGGCATAAAGGCTGAGATTAAAAAAAGGCTGCTGTCCTGCTGTAAGAAAAGGAAATAACTACAGACAAGCTATGCTCAGATTAACTTAAGCATACAGGTCCTTCTCAAAATATTAGCATATTGTGATAAAGTTCAATATTTGCTATAACGTAATGATAAAACTTGAACATTTATATATTTTAGATTCATTGCACACTAACTGAAATATTTCAGGTCTTTTATTGTCTTAATATTGATCTTTTTGGCATACAGCTCATGAAAACCCAAAATTTCTAGCTCACAAAATTAGCATATCATGAAAAAGGTCTCTAAACGAGCTATGCACCTAATGATCTGAATCAACAAATTAACCCTAAACACCTGCAAAAGATTTCTGAGGCCAATCAAAATCTCAGCCTGGTTCATCACTCGAAACCCCAATCTGACTGCTGTGCAGAAGGCCATCATTGACACCCTCAAGCAAGAGGGTATGACACAGAAAGATATTTCTGAACCAATAGGCTGTTCCCAGAGTGCTGTATCAAGGCACCTCAGTGGGAAGTTGTGGGAAGGAAAATGTGGCAGAAAACGCTGCACAACAAGAAGATGTGACCAGACCCTGAGGAAGATTGTGGAGAAAGGCCGATTCCAGACTTTGGGGGACCTGTGGAAGCAGTGGACTGAGTCTGGAGTAGAAACATCCAGAGCCACTGTGCACAGGTGTGTGCAGGAAATTGGCTACAAGTGCCGCATTCCCCAGGTCAAGCCACTTTTTAACCAGAAACAGCGGCATAGACGCCTGACCTGGGCTGCAGAGAAGCAGCACTGGACTGCTGCTCAGTTTTGCATGTCATTTGGAAATCAGGATGCCAGAGTCTGGAGGAAGACTAGGGAGAAGGAAATGTCAAAATGCCAGAAGTCCAGTGTCAAGTACCCACAGTCAGTGATGGTTTGGGGTGCCATGTCAGCTGCTGGTGTTGGTCTACTGTGTTTTATCAAGGGCAGGGTCAATGCAGCTAGCTATCAGGAGATTTTGGAGCACTTCATGCTTCCATCTGCTGAAAAGCTTTATGGAGATGAAGATTTCATTTTCAGCACAACCTGGCACCTGCACACAGTGCCAAAACCACTGCTAAATGGTTTACTGACCATGGTATTACTGTGCCTAACTAGCCTGCCAACTCTACCGACATGAACCCTATAAAGAATCTGTGGGATATTGTGAAGAGAAAGTTGAAAGATGTAAGACCCAACACTGTGGATGAGCTAAAGGCCACTATCGAATCATCCTGGGCCTCCATAAAACCTCAGCAGTGCCACAGGCTGATTGCCTCCATGCCACGCCGCATTGAAGCAGTCATTTCTGCAAAAGGATTCCCCACCAAGTATTGAGTGCATAACTGTACATAATTATTTGAAGGTTGACTTTTTTGTATTAAGAACACTTTTATTTTATTGGTCAGATAATATATGCTAATTTTGTGAGATAGGAATTTTGGGTTTTCATGAGCTGTATGCCAAAATCATCCGTATTAAGACAATAAAAGACCTGAAATATTCCAGTTAGTCTTTGAGAGAAGTGCTCAATTCAACACTCTTAATCAACATGTTGACAACAAAGGCCTTCACACGGTGCTTTGTGAGGTCAAAACCAAACCCGTAATGGTTAGGTTTAGGGTAAGGCTGCTGGTTAAGCTGTAGAAATGGGTTAGAAATGAATAGAAGTCAATGGAAAGGCCCCTTAAAGATAGAGATGTTGTAGGTAGCCCTAATTTTTATTACTTAATTCTGGGGAGTTTTCTACATTTCAGTATCCATCATATCAATATTCCTGCTTCTACACTCAGATGTTGTGAATGTCTGTTTAATAAACCATACAAACATCCAGGATCCAGCAGTCTATCAACAGCGTTATGTATAAACCCAGAGGACATGACCATACCTATAATCTGCAATTTAAGGTTTACCACTAGGAGGTTGCAACAATTTTTAACTTTCAACATACATATATCATGCAAATGTTACCTTTCAGAAAACTAATTCCTTAAAGCCTTCCAAAAACATTATGAAAAACCACAACTGTGGAAAATACAACATTAAAACTACTTAAACAATTCCATACACTAACTATGGCAGCTACATAATTGCATCTAAAAATATTTTCTACATTGACATGTTTATTTATTTTTTGCTGTGTACAATTAAACTGTTCAATGTATCATTTAGCACATAAGCAGTTTTAAAAACTCATGCAAACAGAAACCTCTTGTATAGCTTAAACTTTATGAACCCGAAAACCTAAGAATGATAAGGAGCTATATGGTTTGTAGCAACAGCTGTTGCAGCTCTCCCCTTCCTGTCAGCCTTGGTAAAAACTTTGTGCTGGCAAATCTAGGTCATCTTACTAACCTCATTAACTAAAAGTAAGCTTTTCACTTATTGAAAGATTAAGGTTTGCACTAAATCAGCAAAACAAAAGAGAAGCAAATGCCAACCAAACTATTTAAATAAAAAAATAAAAATACATTTATACTGCAAAAATTATTCCCCCCCTCCAATAACAGCTCGAGCTGCGATTTTTTTCCGCAAGGATCTGTCCCTGAGTTCCACTACACATCTTATTATTAGAGAAAAAGTAAACCCAAACTACCAAATATGATATTTCATAATCATTTATAACTTTAGGTGCAAATGCATGTCATTAAATGCAAATTAATTATCTCTAAAAGATCAGTGTGTCATGATCTTGGCGCTGATGGATGGCGTCATTGTGCATTCCATTCACCTATCTCTTCCCGGTTGCTCATCACTGTCAACATATTCTCATTATCAGTGCGTATGAAATCGTACGAAAAGTTATGCACACTATTTCGTACGTTTTGGACGTTTTTCCTCAAAAAACCACATCAGTGCGCATGCACTGGCAGACAGAAAAAAAAAGTAGATCCGCGGACGGACGTAAAAATGGGAAAAACAGTGCAATCGTCACTTATTCATGTCTCTAACTACGTTGCTTGCTGTTTTATATCTTAGGGTTAGGGTCAGGGTTAGGGCTAATTGTAATTTATATTCTATATTCGTGAATGGTGCGTCAGATGCGCATGCGCATACGATGAAAAAAACGTCCAAAACGTACGAAATTACGGTGCATAACTTTTCGTACGATTTCATAATGAGAATAGGTTGTCACTGTTCATCTGATCCACCTGTTTCCAAGCTCCTATTTATGCTGCCTGTTTTCCAGCCATCAGTGCCAGATTATTTGCGCTGTGTGTGAAAGAAACGCTAGCGCTTCTGTGATATTCTGATTTTCTGCTACTGGATGTTTTATTTTTTTTTGCTTTACCCCTTTTTTGCTCTGTTAGCTTGATCTGTTTTGGACTGATTCCTGGATTCTACCTGCTTACCTTGGACCTGTCTCCTGACCTCTGCGTGGATTCTCCTTCGCACTCTTTGGCTCTCTGATCTTCTGGCCTGGAATCCTGCTTCTGCTACAACTCTGGTTTTAGATTCCCCCCCAGCGGTTACTTCTGCTCCTCCTCTGCTGGCTTCTGCTCATCAGTCTGCTGAGCTTCCCTCCTGGAACTCTGATGGTGTCTGTCTCCAGCCACATGCTGTGGAGAAACAATCCCTCTGGATTCTACTTCTTCCTCTTCTTTCTCATTGTTGTGGCCCGTTTGAGTTTTCAAAGTCACTAACCCGAGTCTCCACTTCTACAGGGATCTGTTAGCTCTCTGCTTGTATTCTGGGTATCTGACTACCTGTGATGTTAATTTGAGATAGTCTAATTTAAAGCCCCCTGCAGTTGGCAACACTTTGTAGAAAAGCACAGATTGCACAAACCACAAAGATAGCTTCTCAGATGCTTTCTTATCTTGCATAGGTTTGTGGGCGAATGTTAACTTTATCCAATATTACTTCATCCAGCGATGAAAACACTAAAAAAGAAAGTGAATAACAAAAAAATATTTTTAGAAACAATTTGCACACAATATCACATACCTTAATAAACATCCATCCATTTTCTAGCACGCTTATCCCGCGTGGGGTCGTGAGGGGTGCTGGTGCCTATCTCCAGCAGTCAATGGGCGAGAGGCGGGGAACACCCTGGACAGGTCGCCAGTCCATCGCAGGGCAACACAGAGACAAACAACCACACACTCACACCTAAGGGGACTGTAGAGAAGCCAATTAACCTAACAGTAATGTTTTTGGATTGTGGGAGGAAGCCGGAGTACCTGGAGAGAACCCACGCATGCTCAGGGAGAACATGCAAACTCCATACAGAAAGACCCTGGGCTGGTATTCAAACCCAGAATCTTCTTGCTGCAAGGCAGCAGTGCTGCCGAGAGCAACTCCATTTTAAAGACAAAAAAGATATATGGTCCCATAAAGTTGTTTTAAAAGGAGAAAAAAAAACTTATTTAAATATATCTTATTGTTAAAGTTAGTGAATTGTTTAGATCTTTGAAGAGCGTCTGTGCGCTTTTTGTTTCCTGTGAGTCAGACACAATGAGTGAGGTTTGACAGACGTGATGGTGTGTGCGTAAAGAGAGGAAGCTGAGCTGTAGTCGGATCAGTGTTCAGAGCGGCAGCAGACAGAGAGGATCATGTGGCGGAGCAGGTTTCCCTTCCCTTCATCACTCCTATCGATCCATCCCAGCTAAGGAATAATGTCTAACAACACCACGGAGCCTCAGGACTACCCTTGCGTGCGCTTCTATGTCTCCACCGTCTCCTTCTCGGTCCTCCTCTTCTTCAACCTCATCATCAACTGGACCATACTGCGGGAGCAGCGGCTGCGCAGCCAGGCGCGCTTCGTGCTGGTCTTCCACCTGCTGGTGTCCGCTCTGGTCCATCTGGGCATGAGCAGCTTCTTCTATTACCAGATCCACCGGAAAGCGCGGCCGAGCCGATCCGCATGCCAGGTTTTGATCACCATCTTGATCAGCAGCGCCTCCAACATCCTGCTGACGCTCACCGCCATGGCGCTGGACCGCTTCGTGGCGGTCTGCTACCCGCTGCGCTACAGCTCCGCGTCCTGCGCCGTGTACTGGCCCTGGCTGCTGGGGGTGCTCACCTGGCTGCTGGCTCTGGTCATCCCGCTCAGCCTGCGGCCGCAGCCGGACCCCAAGAACCACGAAGGGTGCGACCGCGGGTATCTGAAAGGAGGCGAGGTGCACAAGGTGCTGTTCATCGCAGCATGCACGGTGCTCATCCTCTACAGCTACATGCGGATCCTGGTGGAGGGACGGCGGCTCGGGATTTTGAACCGGCGGAACCGGGCCGGCTGCAGGACCATCGCCCTGCACGGCTCGCAGCTGGCCGTCTACCTCCTGCCCAACTTTGTCAACTTCGTGCTGTCGATGTTGTTCAGGAAAGAGCTTATTAAACAAGAGACCAAAGAACTGTCAGCGGTGGTGATCTTTGCGTTCTTCTCAGTGGCGCAGTGCGTTGCGCCGGTTGTTTACGGTTTGCGCAAAGAGGAACTTTTGGAGCAGCTGAATCGGCGGTTCCCCTGCTGCTCCCGGTACCTGAAGGCTGTGCTCGGCCGAACTGTTAGGGCCAACTGGCCCCATACACCACCCGGAGGAAGGTATGTCCTGAACGCAATTATTTTTTCAACTAAAACTTATTTTTTTAACTGAATTTATAATAAAAAACAATAATTACTAATTCATTGAATATGTGATTTTTTTTACAGTCAGTAAACATGTGCAGACATTGAAGGGAAGTTATAATTATTATTATTATTATTATTATTATTATTATTAATAGTTAAATATGAGTAAAGAAAGTTATGTTTTTTATTTTCCATTACTATTTTAAATTGCTGTTAAATTATGAAAGGATTTTTAGTTTAGTCTGGGGGGATAAAAGGCCATGCAATAGTTTGCAAACCATTTCCAGTTAAACACGTTTAAAACCCATGTTGCATAAGTTCTCTGTTCTGCAAGTTGTCGCTTTGGGATGTGAGGAAACCGTTTTCTCTGACTGGAAGCTGAGGCGTTATCTGTTGGTGGTTAAAGTTTGAATTCAGCTGCAAGTCTCTGTAACTTCCGGTGTTGGAGTTTTTTTTAAGTTTTTTTTTTGGGCTTGTTTTGTTTTTTTGTTTTTTGTGTCACTTGGGATTTCTTTTTAACAAACAATGGTTGGAAAATGTCCACTTGTTTGTTCTTTTTCCTATTAGTGGTTTGAGGAAGGATATTAGTGAAAAAATGTACCTTAGCTCTCTTGATGGGCTCTGCTTCCCCAAATCCTGATCTTGCCGCATTTCCATGGAAGCTGGCTCAGAGCTCGCCTGCCCTGTTGTGTGTTTCCTGGATGGGCCGCCTTTTACAGCTGCTTTTTGTATCTCTGCTTCTGTCTCCTTGAACCCCAGTCGGCCTCGGCAGATGGCCGCTCACACTGAGCCTGGTTCTGCTGAGGTTTCTTCCTGTTAAAAGGGAGTTTTTCCTCTCCACTGTCGCTACAAGCATGCTTAGTGTGAGGGATTGCATCCAAGTCAAAGAGTCGATGCAATCAACTGGTTTTCCTTAGATAGAAAACTTTGAATCAATCTGACTGTGTGATCTGGTGAGCTGTAAAGTGCCTTGAGGCGACGTGTTGTGAATTGGCGCTATATAATAAACTGAAATGAATTGAATCTTTGGTCTGTCTGACAAAACTCAAAAGCTTGAACCTGGATGCACTTTTCCTTTCTGTGTATTTTCTAGGAAGTCAGCCGTCACGCTCCTCGGTTATTAAACAGGTGGGGGTTTGTGGGCTTCTTGGCCTGATGCAGTGTTTGCAGATGGTCTGGGCTGGTCAGGGTATCTGCTCATTGGCTGCCGTAAAGTCTCAAAAAAAAGGGTAGATTGCTGAACTTCAACTAAGAAATGCTGTTTTGTTTGTTGCTGTTTGAATTAGACTTAAACTGATGCAGTTGACCAGTTTAATCATTTTAAATGGAAACTGCTTGATCCAGTTTAAGTTTTAAAAGCTAGGTGATAAGGGGGGCTGATATTTATGGGTTTATGACACAGGCTTGCTGTGTAAGGAACTATTAATAACAGTGCAGTTTAGTTTTGGTTGACCTACCATTCACTGTGATGTAAACACAATAGTACTGGCTTAAGCTGTACATTTCTAGATAAAGCCACCAAACAGCCACTGCTGCTTTTTCTGTGTGTAGTTTTTCCACAACATAGAAAGTTTTCCTAGACCAGTTCAAATTTGTTTTTGCATGTCTCCGATTTTACCTCAGATGGACGGTTAATAATGACAGATGTTTGCTAGAACTTAGCTTGAGTTAACCTTTTGTTAGAAACAAGTCTTTCCTTTCCACTGTCGCCACATGCATTCACAGGATAAGGAATTGCTGCAAAGTAAAGGACTCCATGAAACCGGTTTGCTTTCCTTAAATATGATTTAGATTAAAAGGCAATATATATAATTGATTGATTGATTGATTGATTTTTAAATTCTTCAAAAGTTAAATAGTTCTTTCTTGCAAAATTGAGACCTTAGATAGACGTGTTTGGATTTGGCCCCATATAGAACATAAAATAGAATCTAACTTAATGCAAACCCAACAGTAATGCTGCTGAGGCATCCTCTGCATACCGTATATGCTTCCTTTACTAACTCGTTCTGGCTGACTTTGACAAAGCTCATCCAGTCACCTTTTATTGCTTCAGCAGGACAGAAGAGGTGACTGATCTCAACACATCTCTTTGCCAATTCAGGACTTTCGTATTTTTGCAAATCATTGCATCTACCCCCCTTTTGGTGGTCTTTAAATTGGAGGTTCTGCATTTTAATCATCGAGAGGCTTTTTAATTTAAAGCTGATAGCACGCTGAATGGTTCCTCTCCTTTTAGCCTCAAAGCTTACAATGTATAGAAGAATTTCTGCTCCCGATTAGATAAGGTCCTGTTACGTACTCCTCCCTGCAACAATCTGAGATCTAAAATTAAAGAGCAACTCCTCCCTCAATCATCCACTGACACTTCTTATTTTGGTGATTTATGGGGACTTTTTATTGACTTGCATTAATTTTATATGGCCTAACTATTAACTTGATTACCTTACCATCACAAATTACTACCGATCTTAAAGACAGCTGACTTAATCCCTGACTCTTATTCCTTCAAATCTCTTAATTTATCCTTTTATCACCTTACCAGGACAGCTAGTCACCCAGCCTAATGTCAGTAGAACTCATGTCTAATCATAATCATTTAAAATTAAAAAAACTCAACAGACCTTAATCAATAATCACTACTTGGTTGAATTAAACCAAAATACTCTTAATTTTAATTCTATAATCCGAAAACGTAACCCTTATACCCTTATCTGATCCGCAATTACTTCACTTTTATAATATGTATACTGGTCTGACTATGGATCTGAGAGATACCAACAAACGTGCGCTGATCGGTGCAATGCCTTTGATCCTCTAACCAACTGCCCTAGTCATCATTGAGAGAGTGTCTAACCTCTAACTATTACCAACATATACCTAACCCTAAACGTCTTAGTCCTAAACCTAACCCTGACTCAAAGAAAACAACTTTACCACGATTTTGGTCCCCATAAGGACATAGGTCCCCATGACATGACTGTATAAACGGATTAAAGTCCCCACACTGTCATAAAAACAAAGTTTTTATTTTATTTTATTTTATTTAGAGCTTGAAATAATGCTTTTTGTTTCTGAAAACATCATTTCAGTTATGATTATTAGCAGAGGAGTTTCTGAAGCTTTTCAGATTTCATTTTTGAACAGCCCGGCTATGTTTTAGAGACACAGATATTTTTAATCCTTTAAAAGTGTTTATATTGAAAGTATTAATCTCTCTTACAGTCATTTCAGATAGAGACACACCCTTTAGATTGTCATAGTCCCAACCCAGAAAAACACTGAAAACTCCCACTGCCCACATTTATGCTTGCAGAACAATTGCACCTTATATTGGAGCTAAAATATAATTCTACTGCAATCAATAGGGGCCCATGTAAACTGGGGGCCCTTTGGAAGATGAGGTGAGAATTAATTACAGTTTTTTTTTTTTAAACATGGTCGCAACTATTAACCCTTTGAAAAATCTTATCCATCAGCCTAAACATATATCAAGTCTTAACTTTTTGAAATAGAATAAAAAAAATAATATTAATTTTGGTGCAGTTGGGTCCAACTGTTAAATTCCCATTAAGTATGAGGACTAACACCTCTAGTATCTGTCTAAATAAAGCTTCACACATCATGCAACCTTTAGGCCACACTAATTAGCAAATGGTGACAATGCTGAGGGAGGCACGTTGGCTCAGTCTGCAGCTGCTCCAAAGATTAGCTGCTGTATTCTTAAGAACACTAATGATCCATACAATAAGAGCATCTAAAAAAAGCCATTGTTGTAACTCCTGCCTTTATGTTCCACAGAAAGTTAAAGACAATTGACCGCACATCCTGATTTTCCTGCTTTTATTCCTGTTTTCTCCTTCAGGGAGAGGACACTAACTGTGCAGACCATCATCTCATCGGAAGTCCCACAAGAAGACCGAGATGAGGAGAGTGGACCGCTCCCAGGCTCCAGTCTCTCACATGAGTCATGTTAATGCCAAGGAAATACAGCGAAAAAACGGATGAGGATAAGCTCTTAAAGATGTCGCTTTAAGGAATGCTTTCATCAGAACATTTTAACCAGGAAGTGCAGCTATTAAAAAACCAACAGAACGCACTGGTTTATTATTTCCCTTTCGTCTGGTGCTTCCTCTAAGTTCTCAGATTGATGAACTCCTTGGACATCATGGTAACTAATCAGGTTACAGTCCCTCTGAATTTGACCTCCTGCGTCTTTTGGGACTATGCTGATTGCTATGGAGGATACATTTGGGCATGGAGCCAACTGGGGATTGTTTCATTCATGCTGTTGAGAGTTTAACCAAAAGATTCTGGTCCATTTATATTCCTTCCACTGAAATCAGAAGAAGGGACGACAGTTATGGTCATCTGAAGACATTTTATATCCCAGGAGAGGAAATTATGGTTGTTTGTAATGAAAACAAGACTATCTTTGTGTAAAAAGTACTTTAAGTTATTTGTATAGACATAACGAGATCTAAAACATTTTTTTAATTAAGTATTTCTTTATTCCCCTGTATTTTATACAATGTTAGAGGAAAAAATGGCCAAAAATTAGGAACCAAGTGCATTTTTATGAGAGAGGAAAACATGATATAAATGTATACAGCCGCATATTCACTATTAGGTTCCTTCGTTTGAGGGGGAAATTTCCATTGCATGTATTTAATGATAAAAGGCTAATTTAGGCCACTGTTTATAGTGTTTTTTTTTTCAATGTCTAGCCTTGGGGGAAAAAAAGGAAGCTAGACTTTATAACATCCCTTTTTTAAGTGTGGTGAAAAACAGATGGTCCTCTTTCTGCTTGTTTATCTGCAACTTGTTTATTTAAAACTAGCATATCCCCTTTTTATGAAGTATTTAAGCAATAAGCTAAATTACATCTCAGAATGTGAACTTTCTCAACTGTTTTTAATTGTGAAAGCCAGAAAAATAAAATATATATATATATATATATATATTTAAAACATTACATTTTTAGTCTAATTTATTCCCTTTGCCTTGTTGTGACCTGCATAGTCATAAAAACAAAGTGCCTTAAAAAAGACTTTTCTCACACCAAATGTTGAAGATGATCAAACGTATTTAGAAATCTGACAGAGTGAATACAAAATGCAAAGGGTGAAAATTCACAAACCACACCCAGCTGGAGACTCAAAATTCCCTGAAATAGGACCCATCTGACAACACGAAGTAGGCTACCGGGATTCTGAAGCCATTCTGAGCTAGGAGTTCCAAGATCAAATCTTCTGCTTTGGCCCGTTTACAAAAACAAACAAAAAAATACTTTGAAATGGAATAGAAGGAGAAAAATATTGGAAGGCATGTTTGTGGTTATATCAGGGGAGTGGCGGCTTGGTGATTAGGGCATAGAGTATCCTGAGGTTCTGAGATCGAGCCCCACTCCCACAGACTGCCACTCTGGGTCTCTGAGCAAGATCCTTAACCCCTGATTTCTCCCCGGGCGCCCCACGATGGCAGCCCACTGCTCCCCAAGGTGATGGGTTAAATGCAGAGGTAAATTTCTCCAATGGGAGACCAATAAAGTTCAATCAGGCATAAAACTAATTTGCCTCGTGGTAAAAGAACGTCATATCTAACCTCCCTTCTTTAGGACCTGGATAACTTGTTTTAATGAAGGAACTGTAACTCTTGATCACTAGCAGGAGATTAAATTCAATGAACTTTGGGTAAAGCAGTTAAAAAATTCAAATCACAACCTCAAGACTAATTCTAAATGGTTAAAATGGCTTAGGTGCTGCCTTGGAAATTTGTTGAATTAAAATATTTGCATTAAAAGTGGGCATATATTTCACGGTACAGATAAAAGATCTCAGGTACCTGATGGCTGTTGCTTCTGCAATAGGTGGCTAAACCAGGTCACATTTGAATAGATTAAATCAATGTATTATCTCATTGGGGGGAGTGTTGGTCTAGTGGTTAGAGCAGCGCGCTTGTGTTCTGAGAAGGTTACAAGGTTGTTTGATCCAAACACCCTCCTCTCTGGGTCCCTGAGAAAGACTCTTAACCCCACACTGCTGCCAGGGCACACATTGTTAAATGCAGAGGGGATGGGTTACATGCAGAGGCTAATTTCTCCAGTGTGAGATCAATGAAGTTCAATCATTATTATTAGTAATCCGTGTATTAGCTTCATTAGCTCAGTTTGGCTAACATGGCAAACTGATTTGGATCAAAAAGCAGGAAATTGCATTGGCAATTCTGCTGTATTATTAAAAAAAAATTCAATTGTATATCTTTTGAATAAAGTCGTCAAACACAACCATGTTACTTTTACCCTTCAAAACACTTGACACCACTAGTTTAGTAGTTAGTGAAGCAGCAAGATTACATTTTTTTCTCTCTGTCATGCTTTATCCCTGCTGGGGTTGCGAGGGGTGCTGGTGCCTATCTACAGCGGTCTACGGACGAGAGGCGGGGTACAGCCTGCACCGGTCGCCAGTCCATCGTAGGGTAACACAGAGACAAACAGCCATTCAAGCTCACTCTCATACCTAAGGAGAATTTAGAGAATCCAGTTAACTTAACAGTTATGTTTTTGGACTGTGGGAGGAAGTCGGAGTACCCGGAGAGAACCCACACATGCTAAGGGAATATTCAACCTCCATTGAGAAAGATCCTGAGCCAAGAATGGAACCTGAAACCTTGTTGTTGCAAGGCAGCAGTGCCACCCACTGCACCAATGAGCAGCCCAAGATAAAAAAAAAAGTAAAAAAAAGTAAAATGTCATTTAATATGTAAAGCTTTGATCCGTTTTTTAAATCCAAGTTTGCTTTACTGGCTGCGTTCTGATAGACGTCAAAATACAGAAGTCAAAGAAATTTAACCTCTTAACAAAAGTGCAAACATTTCTTAGTTAACTGTTTACCTAGAAATATTTGCTTATATTTCAACTGTATCCTTCATCCCATTATTGGAGAACAATAAAGGGAAGGTTTGACCACTTTTCCAAAATCCAGTTTAAAAGCAGGAAACATTTAAATCTGAAAAAGAATAATCGGTTTAACTTTAGAAATTGATATTATGCGACTTCAGAATTACTTTCTAAATTATATTAGCCAACATTTGAATTCATGTTATCACTAAAATCTTAATGGTGACATGATAACCTACATTTCATATGATTTATTGTGATACCACATTGCTGATTATCACACCTCCCAACACTTGACGGTTTGGCTGTTATGATAAAGTAGGTTAGCTTGACAAATAGAAGGCAGTATTTGAAAACAATCATGTCTTAAAAACCCAATGTTTTAAAGCTTTCATTACATTTATATAAGGTTTAAATAATTTCTCTTTTTACAATCAGAGCTAAATATACTATTCACAGTACACTGTTACAAAGGCCACTAAACAAGTTTTAAGTACCGTTTTAGCTTTAGTAGTGACAGCACCATTAATAGAGTCGCATTTTCAGATGTGTATAAATTATAGATTTTTTTTTTTTTATTTCTGTTGTGTGCTCAATTTGTTCATCTTTAATTTCAAATGAAACAGGAACTAAAAGAGCCTTTGCACAGACTGTAAAGAGGAAAGTTCCCTTGTTTAAGTGCAGCTATCCAGGATCTAAAACAACTGTCCAAACAATGCTGACTTTTGCTTCAAATTTCCTTTATATTTTTCTGGGGTTTACCGCATTAGACGCTGCATAGCTGTTGTCTTAACTCGACAGTTGAGTCAGTGAGATGGAAGCACGACAGGGGAAATTCTGCCTCATTTCACAGCGCATGCCTTATGTGGCACTTTCCTCCGATCCGAGTCTCACACATACAGTAGCAAGGGCGTGTTTGGTTTCAAAGCACAACCTGTGTACACACTGCTGGTGAAGCTCTTACTGGCATTCCTCCAAAGCCTTCCTTAGAAGAGGCTCATAGCAGAAATGAAACCAAGAGATGGGTGCTTTTTTTTTTTTTTTTTTTTGCTCTTGCTAATAGGAAACGTATTTGCAAAGCTAAGAGAAGAAAGTAGTTTAAGCCTAATGAGTTCTCAAGAAAAGAGACAATATTAAAGTCAAAAGCTCAGAAGTATGTTTAATGAAAGACTTAATGCGTTACAAATACACTGAGATCTACAGTGGGATCTGCTGAAGGAAAAAACATTTAAAGATCCAACATTTTTAATCAAGCAACCTTTAAAACCAGTGGGATCATATCTGTTGTTGTTAATTCAAGTATTAACGTGTAATTACACGAATGAACCCAGAGGGCTGATCAGAGGGGGAAGTATACAGTTGTACCATAGAACTACATATGCAGATGACATTACACTTTCTACATTTACAGTTAAAGCCCCCCATCATTTGTATATGCCCTTAAGAATTGACTGTTGCATTGATCAGTTTTGAGTCAAGTCACAGCACAGCAGATTTGTCAACCAGAATCGATGAAAAAACGTGTCTAAGGCAAAGGTTTTAATCTTACATTTGTGTTTATAAGAGCTGAACGTGCAGAAAGGCATCCAAGTACATACAAAGCACATTGTTAAATACATTTCAACACAAATTAGGCAAGTGTACAAATAAAAAATAGAAACAAAAAGTTAAAATATGCCCTTCAAAAGCCTTAGTGCACAGACTGAACTGCCTTTTTTTTTTAGATAACCTCCCTATTAACAGTAATTTTCTGAGTTGCATTGATTATGTTGTGTAAAGCAACAGGAACTGCTTATATTCACATTTTCAGCAGTGAATTACTGGTCAGTCAGCTACAGTCATGAAGGTACAAAGCTGCTGGTCTATATACAATCTCCCTGCACGTATTCAACTATCTGCTGCTTTAGACACAAGCATGAGGACTGAAGATATCTTTAACCACAAAAACACTTTCTATTTTGAGGTATACGCTCGAATTCAGAAAGCTGTAGCTAATGCTACAATGCTCCACAGCTTAGTTGTACATATTTAAAGAAAGGGCACTGATGTGACTGAGCAGACATGGTTTTATTCAAATTGGTTGGAAACTGGCTGGACTCGGCAGTCATGCTCTGATTTAGATCCAAAAGTGTGGGAAATAAAACCCTGGTTAAATACAGAAAAGAAAACCAAAACGGTGTGGGTGGTGATCTAGAAACCCAGCGGATGAGGAGACACCACGCCTCCGTTCTCCACCACCGCAGCAGAGATGGACCTCATGTTGTTGAAGAGCCGTTTGGACTCACCGGAGCGCAGGAGCTTTATGTCCCGCATTACCCTGTCATGAGCCTGGAGGAGGAAGAGGGGAGATCACCACATTTACTGATTAGGATTCCACATCAAAGGAAGAGCACAGAGCCAGGGGTGCTTATGACTTTTTTACTCTAAATTAACCAGCATCAAACTATATTTGTATCCATTTTTGAAGCAATATTTAATATAATTACCAATAAAAATAAATTTTCTATACAATTTCATATTTCTCAAAAGGGGTTTTGGGATAAAAGCAACTGTAAGCATTTGTAAAAGATGTAATAACTAAAAGAAAAATAAATGGGCTGTCTTTCTCAGAATCATTGTCCTGCTGGGTTCAAGTTTCAACAGTCTGAAAACAGCACGTTTAAAACAGTTTGGTGAATCCTGTTTAACATGAAGCCTCGACAGACGCCTCTAAAGGCTGGTTATCCTCCCGCAGCAGTGTGTCGCAGTGAGCTTGATGCAGATATCTTTCATTTATGCTCAATTTTGAAGCATGGTCGGCGATATATTATTCCACGCCACAACGCAAGAGGAACAATGACGAACTAGCTGGGGTCTTAGATACGGCCGAGGCGGTGAGGAAGTGGGGGTAAGTTTGTGTGACAATGGAGGGACATGAGGGCGAAAAAGAGCGGGGATCCAGGTGGAAAAAGGGTCCCAGCGTTCTCGTACACCTCGCTCTTCTAGCCGGTCCATCTTCACAAGACGTTTCCTACAATGGCGGTTATACAAACAACACAAGCCAGTAAGGTACCAAACAGGAAACATGCATAGAGTAG